CACTGTTGACTTTGCATTTTGGAGTACGTATGAATAAAAACAGGTGTAATATTGAGTTTCTTGTATAGCAACCTCCAGGATTATTCAATGGCTGGTAAGAGCCATTGACTTGACAGGAGAATACTTCATCTCAACTTGAGGACCCCAAGGTATAACTTTTACAGAGTGGGCCACATTACTCCCGCTTTTGACTTGTAGTATATAAAATCTCAATTCTTCCATCTCTCCTCCCTTCCTCTTTCTCTTTCTCTTTCTCAAGAACTCTTATTTATATCAATGACAAGGACTGGGATGGACGAATAAACCTTTTCAAATACCGAATCACGCCTCTAGTCACGAGACCAAGACCAAGAGGAACAGCAAAAGGAATGAAGAATAAAAAACCTTGAGCCTGATAATGGATGTATCAATGAAATAGCAGTAGCAACGACAAATACTCATCATTACTATTTTAACCGTACTCTGCTCAGAGCAATAACAAAATTCTCGACGGCGAAAACAACCAAATGGTAAGAATATAAGAATTAGACGCTCGAATTCCTCGACCTCGATGCAGACTATCTGCCTGCGTTGAGTCACATTGGTCTTCTTCGAGGATGGCGCAGATTGAGAGATTTCCTTTTCCCAAGATCTGGATTGGTCGTTATCTCTGTTTGAGGAGTTGTGAACGGAAACCTGGGCTCATCTTGTATATTACGCTGGTGCAGATAATTCAGAAAGTAAGGGCTTCACCGTCCCCACCACTCGCCAGATATTTATATGGCTGGCCTATTGGCCTAGAATTTTCACAGGCTCTTTCATTAAATCACTGAAGCACATAAAGAAGTCATAAACTTGGGTATTTGTATTAAGTACACATCAGAAAAAGGCAGCAAGCTAGCTACATAAACGAGAAAGAAGAAGAAAAACAATAAACGCAAGAAGTGTACATATGTGACGTGTCGGTCACCCAAACGATGCACTGCCCTAACTTGCTGATTACTAGAATGATCCTGTTTGCTCATGAATTTAAGGCACTGAGTTTTTGTTTTCGAGGTGGCAAACCAGAGCCATGATCGAGGTATCTTGAACGCCTAAACGCCACAGAAATGCGTGATATGAATCGTGCCAAGTAAATTGTCAAAGGAATTGTTATGCCAAAGGTGAACGCCATGAAGTTCATTATTTGAGATAACTATGTTCCTGGTGGAGGTGGTGGAGGTGCGCCTGGGAAAGTGAATCCTGGAGGAAACATTGGCATTCCATTAGGAAGTGTTGGAAGAGGATAAGGGAACGAGCCTAATGGGAATGGGGGCATGACTGGTGGAACGGTATTGGCGGGGAATTTATGACCTTCATCCCGATGATCATCCCGACGATCTTCTCGATCACGACGATAACGAGGTCTCTCATCCTCCTCGTAATCGCGAGCGCCAGATTTTGGACCATTCTTTCCACCGTTGTCGGTTTGCATGCGACGGCTGATTGCCTTGGACGAAACACCTTGACCGATTTCAATATCAGGCTCTTCGACAACCATACCAGGTTCAATTTCTTGACCACCACTGCCACCAAATTCTGCATTGAGCATCCACTTTCGGTCGGCATCCGTGAGTTTGCTAATCGGAATGATGCTGATACCTGTTTGATAATCACTGCAATCACGTGGTCCGAAGCCAACACCCCAACGAGTCTAGAATTAAGAGTTAGCAAGCTGTTTGAGTATGGATGGTGTTTATATGTAATGTACATACTCTCAATGAAGAATCGGGACTTCTGTTCTTTTCCATAGCCTCCTTAGCTTTGACAGCATGCTCACGACTGACCATCTTAACGAAAGCGTGGCGCTTTTCTTTGTTAACAATGCAAGTTTGCACATCACCATATTGATTGAAGAGTCCTTTCAATTCATGCTCGGAAGAACTATAAAAAGTCAGTATAACGATAGACTTTCGAAAAAGGACAATTCGAATGATAAAGACCAAGGGGTTTGACTTACGTAACTCCACCAACAAACAATGTGCGACTGAGAACTGTAAGTTTTGTTAGAATAACTTCAAACATAAATGCAGACAAATTGATAATTTACCTTTGATATTTCCTTTACCAATTGAAGCGTCGTGTCCAACCCATTTAGGTCCACTGGTATTCGTTCTAGGAGGTGTATTGCTGCGACGGCGTTGGGGGCTACGTTGGCGGTAATCATTACCTCGGCCGCGTCCGCCTCTACCACGATCATCGGAACCTCTCATACGTGCTGGAGATTCCCTATCAAAATCATCACGACGACGAGCATTTGGAGAATCACGACCACCCCAGCCACGTTGAGGAGATGGGGATCTAGAACGACGACGGTAACGTCCAGGTGGTGATCTCATAGGATCTTGGAAACCATTTCGGTCACGTGCATCATCTCTGACACCCCAATTATTTTGAGCATGAGTATTTTGATTTTGAGCAAATGAAGGTGGTGCAGCGGTTGCAGCTCCTTGGCTACCCATGGCTGCTAAAATACCAGCAATCTGTTCCGCTGGAACACCCGTAGCTGCAAGTGCCTTGATTAAAGCTACCTGTTGTTGCGTAGCTGGATCGAGATTACCGGGAGGATTCATTGGTGCTGCACCTGGGAAAGGATTTGGATTACTGGCAAAGTTCGGCATTCCATTACTTGGACCTTGACCATAAGCAGGCATCGAGGCAGCTGGGGCATTTACAGGTTGAGGAGCAACTGAAAATGGCAAGCTTTGGTTTACTGCTTGAGGTGGTTGAATGGGATTATGCTGCGCATGTGATACATTGTATGGATTAACAGGTGGGGTAGAAGCAACTGGCGTAGGTGTAGCATTTTGACGGGCAGTATTGGACATATTTGCGAGAGCTGCTAAAATCGAAGATGTATTAGGGGGCACAGAAACTTGTTGTGGGGGCGCCATGGTCGGAGTTGCTGAAGTTGGTTGTAAAGCTAAGGCTCCTTGAAGATCTTTTGGGGGACTTCCTGGAGGTGTTGTGGATTCTACATGGCCGGTAACATTATGGTTAGATATACGGCAACATTATTTTCTCTCGGGATTATTTGTGATAATCTTACCAGCATTCAACTTGTCTTTAAAACCATTCAACATTTGCGCAGGGAAGGTTTGTCCCTTCTCCCAAATATCAACTAATTTTTTAATCTTGTCCTACAAAGAATAACAAATGTCAAGTAAGTAGGAATTCATATGGAGGATTGGTGAATATAGAGAAGGTGCACAATGATATCTCGGGTGAGGAACATATATGATATCTTGGAGGCAAATTTTCACGCAGACATAGAACATAGCTATGCTGGAAACTACTCAGTTCGAGCATTTTGAATATACTGGGCGTACCTTTTGATCATCGGGAGCAGATTGGATTATGTCGTTCATAAAAGCGGGGAGCAATTCCTTTACTTTATGTACACCAGCAGCATATGTGCCATCCGGAGCAGAACTATTTATGGTTTGTTGAGCAAGTTTGGCTTGTTCGGTCCATTTTCGAGTTACAGAGTCTACGACGTAGAGGGTGCCAAGCTTGTGTGTGCCAGGTGTCTTTTTAAAGTGCACATATAATTTCTGAACCAAAGCGGATTCTTGCTACAAAGAGAATGAGATGTTAGTTAGAGCTCGCAGGCAAGGAGGGAGATGGGGAGAGATGCAGCGATGGTGGCAATGGAAGCAGCGGAACATGGGATTATCGCATACCTGGATATTTTGAGTGCAGAGGTTTGTAAGGCCTTGAATTCGAGATCCTGATACACCAGGAGGTCTTAATTGCACCATGGCTTGAAGGCCGGCTTCTAATTCTGCTACTGCGGAAGACATAATGAATATGACTTCTCAACCACTGAAGATATGAGCTCAGTTCCTCAGATCAACGCGACGAATTGTTATCGACGAGGTGACAATTAAATCTAGATTACTCTCTATGATTTGATTTTCACCAGCTCGATTCCAGATTATGGGCTACGATGAAAATTTTGATGAACGGATCTATCGCGACTACGGATCTGCGACCGTCACGTAAAGTCTAAAGCTCTTAAGAACTCTGATAATAGTTTGGAGAGAGTTGTGGCAGAAGGTAGAAGCCGCTACTAATGTAACGAAATTTTGATTACTTTTCTTTACCTCAGGTTCAAGTAGATGGAGATCAAATGAGTTAAGGGACGTTCGAGGATGTTGAAGTTGTCCGAGTTGAAAAAGGTTGGGGTTTATGTGTAGTAGCTTCGATCATTCGACTAATCATTGAGGTAAAAGGCAAGGTCTTGTTTTTTACGCCCTAGTTAGTCATCCATCAGCTGCACTGTCACGTGTGGGACACGAAATTATCAAATTACGGTTCCTTTGACAGAATCTCATTCCTTGTTTCACTTTCCCCGAGGCAAATAGGGTGAATGGAAAATCTGATTGGCTCAATAGAAGGATGTGAGAAGTGAATCCTTCCATTGGATGAACGGAATGTCATGAAATATAAACAAAAGGGAGAGGAAATAGGTATGAATTAATGGACGTGTGAAACCTACCTGTTTATCAATTGCCGACCTCTTTCGCCGGCACCGGGGCAAAGAGCACAGAACTTAGAAGACTTGAGAATTGGCGGGGAGTTACCGATCGGGTATTGCCCAGGTGTAGACCATAACCGCCCTCCAGCCGCCCATATTTACTTCATCTACCCAGCTGGAGTACTTTGTTAATTTCGCCCCGCCATATCTATACAGTAAACCAAATCCCCAGTTGAATGGAGTAAAATAATCCATATTATTCATTCACGTAACCAATCAAACCAATACAATTATTGGAATCTGTGGGGATTTCCGTCTTACATTCTCGGGATAACTCGCGTTTATCAAATACCAAGGTTGACGTAGTTGAGGTAGGGGAAGCTTTCTGCGTGTATTGGTGCATTGGTCGGCCTCAACGCTAGCGGGTCTCCGACCATTTTTTCCGTCCACGAGCCGGAATCTGTTCTTAAATTTCTATTCTATCATACATACATTTTTGCATTTCTACTGCAATTACTACACATCTCTCACGATGGCATCCCTTCGTATTGGTCAAACTGCTCTTAGAGCATCTATGAGAGCTCCAACATTCGGTGCTAAATCCGCCGCCTTCAATGGCTTGCGATGCTATTCATCGAAGACTCAGGTACATTTCAAACTTTTCTCCATGCGGCACAAACCAGCTTTACTAACTATTCTTCTTTCCAGACTTTGAAGGAGCGTTTCGCCGAGCAACTTCCAGAGAAGATTGAGCAAATCAAGGCTCTCCGCAAGTAAGAAATATCTTATCGATTCTAAAAATCGACACCCACTTTGCATCTACATATACTTATTTTCGCAGGGGTTATGGAAACAAGGTCGTCGGCGAGGTTACTTTGGACCAAGTCTACGGTGGTGCTCGTGGTATCAAGTCATTAGTCTGGGAAGGTTCAGTCCTCGACTCTGAGGAGGGTATCCGTTTCAGAGGAAAGACTATCCCCGAGTGCCAGGAACTCCTCCCAAAGGCACCAGGTGGACAAGAGCCTTTACCAGAAGGTAAGATCTCATATGGCGCCCGCTATTATGCGCAATCACTAATTTAACCAAGGTCTTTTCTGGCTCCTTTTGACCGGTGAAGTTCCAAGCGAGCAACAAGTTCGCGATCTCTCTGCCGAGTGGGCCGCTCGTTCCGACGTACCAAAGTTCGTCGAAGAGCTCATCGACCGATGCCCAAGCGATCTCCACCCAATGGCACAATTTTCCCTCGCTGTCACTGCTCTCGAGCACGAGTCCGCATTCGCCAAGGCTTATGCTAAGGGAATGAAGAAGGCCGATTACTGGGGTCACACTTTCGAGGATTCCATGGATTTGATTGCCAAGCTCCCAACTATCGCCGCTAGAATCTACCAAAACGTCTTCAAGGGCGGTAAGGTCGCTGCTGTCCAAAAAGACAAGGATTACTCCTTCAACTTTGCCAACCAACTCGGATTTGGCGAGAACAAGGACTTCGTTGAATTGATGAGATTGTACCTCACCATCCACACTGATCACGAGGGTGGTAACGTTTCTGCTCACACCACTCACTTGGTTGGATCTGCTCTCAGTTCCCCAATGTTGTCCCTCGCTGCTGGTTTGAACGGTCTTGCTGGTCCTCTTCACGGTCTCGCCAACCAAGAAGTCTTGAACTGGCTCACAAAGATGAAGGCTGCTGTTGGTAATGATCTCAGTGATGAGGCCATCAAGAACTACCTGTGGTCTACTCTTAACGCCGGTCAAGTCGTTCCAGGTTACGGTCACGCCGTTCTCCGCAAGACTGATCCCCGTTACATGGCTCAGAGAGAATTTGCCGAGAAGCATTTGCCATCGGGTAAGTTTAACCGATCACGTGATCTACATCTTCAACTCTAACAATATATTCTGCAGATCCTATGTACCAGCTTGTTAGCCAAGTTTATAAGATTGCTCCAGGTGTTCTCACCGAGCATGGAAAGACCAAAAACCCATGGCCCAACGTGGATGCGGTGAGAAGTCTTCTTTTTATCATATGTATATCATTACTAATAAATCTTAGCACTCTGGTGTCTTGCTCCAATACTATGGTTTGACTGAGGCCAACTACTACACCGTTCTCTTCGGTGTTTCCCGTGCTATTGGTGTCCTCCCACAATTGATCATTGACAGAGCCGTCGGTGCCCCAATTGAGCGCCCCAAGTCCTTCTCCACCGAGAAGTGGGCCGAGATTGTTGGAGCCAAGTTGTAAAAAGGATATCAAAAGAATAGTGGGGAGGTAAACTTGGTGGTATACACATGGACGCCCTGAATTAATGACCAAAGGTGTAGACTGGATAGAGCCAACCATTATAAAATTGTAGAATCGTTTTTTCAAGAAGTTGCAGTAAAGGAAACCTAGAGCAGGAATACGTACTCATACTTCTTCTCATGATGATTCAGTGTATAATATAATGATTTGCTTTTACTAGAAGAACAAAGACGAAGAGACTCCACTATTAATCTAGTATATTTTGCATTCTGTTGCTTACTGACATGTGTCTCATGCTCTCAACATTTTAAATGTACACAAACATATGTGCGAATCAATTGCGCCATTCCTTTCTTTCCAATGATCCAAATTTTCTGGGACATTCAATCTCTTGCAAGCATCCAGCCTCTCTCAACTACAACCCTTAGCCTGGCATAGGAGAGCGGTCCAAAGCGATCAAATACCCAACCCATCTCGATCACCGTCCAGATACAAACACCAACCTCACCCTAACTTTATTATTCAAACCTGGCTAGACATCTCACTTTTACATCTTGTTCGCGTTGTATCACCGTCGAGTCATTACTAATCTTTCATCAAGTTGTGTAGCTTTATTAATGGTTGTCGGTACGACACTCTGTAGATGGATTTTGATGTACGTGATTATAAGGCCACCCCTGAAATTTGGCACTGGGGTTTGGAGTTTTCTTCTTGGTATTAGGATTGGGAGAATTGGGGTTAGAAGGATGTGAGGGGTATGGGTGCATGAATTTATGAGGTGGTTTGGAATACTGTGGATTTTATAGAGGGGGTGAGAGGGGAGGGGATATCGCGAGTTCTATGGTGCAGGTCGTGGATTTTGGGCCAGGAATCAGGAGCAGTATTGGAGTTTGCCGAAAAAAAGGTCGGAATTGTGAACTCAATTGGGTTCATAAATCAATCACAAATTGAAGCATAAAAGTGAAATTAGTTAATGGAAGTTTAGCGCCTATTCACTTTATGGGTTTTTGCAAGATATATTTATCATAAGAGTCACAAGCAAGAAGTGATTGTAAACACCTAGGTACTTTTCAAGAGTCCTCGAATTCAGCCTATTATTTCGGCTACGTAGAGGGGAGGGGTTAGACGAAACTAACAAGTTAAGAGAACAGGCCTGTGTGGTAATATGCTTTTGGTATCTAGGTACTTGACCCTTTGAGAATATAAATAATTTCATCAGCTTGTGAAGGAAGCCACAGTCCTGAGACTTAAACATGTTGGGGGAAACGAGTGAGATCCTGACAGTGTACAGAGAGTCGTTCAGAAAGTAAGGGATATGCTATGGCGCTGCACAGATAAAGGTCGTCGTCATCTCGCATCGCAAGACTGATGGTCTGGTAGTGTCTGATTTCAATCAACTCACCTATCACTCGTACAGAAAATGGTGATGAGATCATCAGAACAAACGATAAGTGTTGGAACCAAACAATGTTCGAGTCAAGAATGCATACAAAGTATACTTATTATTGACAACAAGATGTTGTACTAGGAAGCCGATCAATTCAGCTCGAGACTTCATCCAAAGAAAAAAAAGCAATACTGATACCAAACTACAGACCGCTTTTAAATTCGGACCGGACTTCCCCAATGAATCAACAACACATGCAATTCGTTGAGCTTGAACTTCTCAACAAATGGCCGAGGCTTCCAAGGTTGTTCCATTCTTTTTCTTTAGGGTTGCCCGAATGGTGTTTAGTAGGCTTTAAATAGCAGTAGACCCTCTGTAGGTAAGAAATAAGGTTGTGAACTGGTTAGGTGTACAATGATTGATGGGTGGACATATGTAGCAGGAAGGCTGGGCCCGAGTACGATTGATAAGTGATTGATGGAGAAGAGAAGTTTACTTTCTTGTGCTGCTACAAAACAGAATGCATCTTAGAAGCATTCATTCAAGACCAAGCCTTTCTGCTGACCCCGATTCATTATCTTGAAGTGAAGAATGTGGTAATAAACAATAAAGATTTTGGTAATTCAAATAGCACAATGTAAATAATAGAGTGGTTTCTTTAAAGTAATTTTTATATAATTTCCTACTAGGTAAACTGCTTCTTTTCTTGCTTTCTTCACTTTCACTCCAAATAGGCTTTCAGCATTATCAACAAATTCCCACATACCCTTGTATCTTATCGGGGCCCAATACCGAGCACCGCTCAAAAAATTAGGGTCCACCTGGTCTTTCATTAGCTTCCTATCTTTCGCGAGTACTGCGGCAGATCAGCTAAGCTCTCCTTTCAACAAACACATATCTCTTCCCCCTCCCTCTCATTCCCTTTCCCTTCCTTCCTTCCATCAAATCTCCCTTACTTAGGTACTCTCCAACAACAACAACCCTCGATCTCACCACCCTTTCCTTTGCGAAGAAGCAACCTATTCCCTTGGTCAGGGCCCCAATACAAACACCATCTACCTTATCATGTCCGCTGTCACCGCCAAAATGCCCATCGTCGGCAAACCAGCTGTTCCAGAGAAGAAACCCGTCAAGTTCTCCAACTTGCTTTTAGGTGCCAGTTTGAATTTGTTCGAGGTAACCACTTTGGGTCAACCGTTGGAGGTTACAAAGACTACTATGGCTGCTAATAGAGGGGATACTTTTGCGGGTGCTCTGGGTAGAATTTGGGGGAGAGGTGGTGTTCTTGGATGTATGTTTTTATTTCCTTTTGTGATTTTCTTGATTGCTATGTCGATCCTATTCTATGATGTGACTTGTGCATTTTTCTTCATATTTCAGATCTGCAAGAATAACAGCTAATGATAACCCCACTACAGTCTACCAAGGACTCATCCCATGGGCATGGATCGAAGCCTCCACCAAAGGTGCCGTTCTCCTCTTCGTCGCCTCCGAAGCCGAGTGGTACGCTCGTTCTTTTGGTGCTGGTGATTTCACCGCCGGTATCAGTGGAGGTGTAATTGGTGGTGTTGCTCAAGCATATGCCACTATGGGATTCTGCACCTGCATGAAGACCGTCGAAATCACCAAGACCAACATGGCAAAGGCTGGTGTCAAGCCTGACGGTACCATGACCACTTTCATGAACATCTACCGCAAAGAAGGTATCAAGGGAATCAACAAAGGAGTCAACGCCGTTGCTATTCGTCAAATGACCAACTGGGGAAGTAGATTCGGATTGAGTCGATTGGCAGAAAGTGGTATTCGAAAGGTGACCGGCAAGGGTGAGAATGGAAAGTTGAATGCTTGGGAGAAGATTTTGGCAAGTGGATTGGGTGGTGGATTGAGTGCTTGGAATCAACCCATCGAAGTTATTCGTGTCGAGATGCAGAGTAAGACGGTGGATCCTAACCGACCTGCTAAGATGACGGTTGGCAATACCCTCAAGTATATTTATAGTCAGAACGGAGTTTCGGGCTTGTATCGTGGCGTTGTTCCTAGAATTGGATTGGGCGTTTGGCAAACGATTTGCATGGTTGCTATGGGTGATATGTAAGTTTTCTTCCCTCCCATCATCCCTTCACTACTCCTCAATATCTATCCAAACGAAACAAATACTAACAAAATAAACAGGGCAAAAGCTTATGTCGAGAAATTGACGGGTGAAAAGGTCACCGCTAAGCATTAAGGCGTTTTGGGAATACCTGGCTTGCGTGCATACACACACATATCTGGCATTGGTTTGGTTCTTCTGATTTTTGTATGGAGGCTTGCTATGATCTTCTCAGAATAAGAGTAGAGGAAATGAGTTTAATGATCTGATATACGATGAATGCGATTGCAATTGCAATGCGAATTAATAGACAATTTTCGGGGTGGTAGATAGATGATATGATGGCGAGTGTCTACATGCGTGGACAATGTTCATTGAAATGAGAGTTTTTCAATCTGCATTTTTGTGTTTGCGTATCTATTGATGATTGTCCTTGTTATTGTGTTTGTTCTTTTGGCCTTTCGCCTCTTTGCATTTGGACCTCCTTTTGATGAGGTCATAGTGGCTCTCGAGGTCTTGAATATATACACGTCTATATACACACATCTATAGTAAAAGTTTTGATATTCCCTTTTGTAACTTGATGCGTTCGTACTTGGAGTTCGTTTTGACGGGGTAGGTGGTTGGCTTGGCTTGGGGTTGGGAATGGGAATGGCAGTGGGGATGAAGATTCTCGTGTGAGGAAAGGGATGAAGATACGTATATGTACATGTAGGTATACATACGAGGATAATGATGGATTATAAAGGTACAAGATAAGAGATTCGAGATGGGAAGAAAGGAGGGTTTAGAAATATTCATGTGGATCGTTTGTACAGTATTCTTCTGGACTCGGGGAGAGATTGAGGATGGTAGGAGTGCAAAATTGTGTGTTTGCTAGCTTTGAGGAAGGGGATGGGGGAGAGGAGGGATTGAAGAAGGTAGATGCTTGATGGTAGATGTCAAATAGAAGACATGAATAAGAGTGCAGTAATGGGACAGGATTGCTGTGTGTTGTTTGTATTTGGGTTATTGAAGTTCTGTGAGCTGTGTATTTTCATTGATTTTTCTGTGGGAATTGGGGATCGGGAATATCTGGATTCTAGAGGAGTCTATGGAGTCTGGAGAAAAGAGAGGTTGCGGATGTTGTTGTGGATGCTTTGATTGTTGTCAGGTGTGATAAGAGGGGATGGAAAGGGGTGTTGGGCTCTGGGGCTGAGATTGAATGAATGGTGGATGAAGGGAGGACTGGAGAATAGGTAAGCGGAGGATAGGTGAATTGATGTGTATCTTTAGTCTTGGCAGCATCATAATTGGCAAAATTGAGGGGGTTTTCTCGGGCACGGTTGGGGGTTTTGATTCTGGGAGAAAGAATGGTTATGTGGGAGCATCCAACGGCGTTGCTATCACATCCGGAATAGACCGAAGATTTCACTCAAGTTGGAGGATGAGGAATTGCATTATTAACAGTCTGGGCACACACACAAACATTGTGGTGGACTTTAACCGCTGGTTATGTGTCCTCTGCTCATTGGTAGTGTTATAGTTACACAACATAGTTATAAAACATGGGACACTGAATCATCAAGTCATTGCCTTTCGCAACTTTTCTCTTGGTTTAGTGTTGTATTGGCGAACTTGTTGTTATCAGATATCATCACCTGCTACTTCTCATTTGCCTGATTTTGGTTGCATAGTGTAGCCATGGGAATCGACGCCGGTTTCGATATACATCCTCGTCTGTCTAAAGGAATCGTAGACAGACAAAACTGGGGACGATTTATCGACTTCATTAAAGAGCATTACAAGGATGACACCCAGGTCGAGATAAAGCCAAATTACATCAGCTTCAAAGCAGGGGAACATCCCAAACTTCCATTCGAGGGCCACAAATTTCTGCGTTTTAGCTCAAAAGTATCCGGGTCTATCGCAGCAGATACGAATGTAGAGAGCTATATCGATACTGTGACACGTATTGCACAGGCAAACTTCGGCTCTCGTATCCGGTATTGGGACGAGGGTGTTGATCAGTCTGGCGTATACAGCTGGACTGAAGTCCAAGAATCAATCAGGTCATATCAGCAGGTCGGTGGTGCCTCCCCAATGTCGTGTCCGTGCTTGATAAACAATCTTTGACATCTCAGTTGCAGCGAGATGAACTTGAGACTCCGTCCAGCATTGCTCAATTCCTTAGTGGCACCGATCCTATCGCAGAGCTGGACATTGCTCCTTTCGAGATTAAGCACATCCTCGGAAAAGGTAAAGGTCTCGTTGCCCGTTTCAACATATCTAAAGGCACCCGAATCATTTGTGAGAAGCCGCTTCTTAGAGCTGGGCCTATGCCTCGTGATGAGCTAGAGGGATTTCTCGCGACAAAGTTGAAGGCCATGTCCAGAGAGTCACAGCGACAGTTCCTGTCTCTTCATAACAACTTCCTGACGAAGAACCCATTCAGCGGCATCTTCAAGACGAACGCGCTGCCATGCGGCTCTGGGTCGCCCGTCGGTAGCGTCTACCCAACAGTGTGCTTAATCAACCACAGTTGCATGCCAAATGCTCATAATAGCTGGAACAGCGCCAAGGAGCACGAAACTATCCATGCAATTCGATCAATCGAGAAAGGAGCTGAGATCACAATATCGTACGACCATGGGGGGACGTCAAGCGAACGACAGGCATTTCTTGAAGAAAGCTTCGGTTTCTCCTGCACTTGTAGTTGTTGCACCCTCCCCCCTTTCTCCCTCCAAGCTAGCGACAATCGGCGCACACAGATCAAGAATCTTGATGACGCTATTGGGGATCCGTTCCGTATGAGGAGCAACCCACAAGAGAGTTTGAGGGACTGCTACTCGCTGATTCAAGTCCTCGACCAAGAGTTCGATGGGTGTGCTGGCGCACTAATTTCTAGGCTCTACTACGACGCCTTCCAGATCAGTATTGCGCATGGGGATCAGGCACGCGCGAGTATATTTGCAGAGAGAGCCTATAAAGCTAGGGTGATCTGTGAAGGTGAGGATAGCCCCGAAACGCTGAGAGCTAAGTCTCTTGCGTTGAAACCAGCCGTTCATAGTAGCTTTGAAGTATATTCTAGGAAGTGGAAAAGCGTGAGGGATTCGGCACCGAAGGGTTTGGATACGGTCGAGTTTGACAAGTGGTTGTTCAGGCAGAAGAATTAAACAATAGGCCTCTCCTGTTAGTGTTATTCTGAAAATGTGCGGGCCTGTAATGAAGTATACAATGGTATTCAGGTTGCTGTCTGATCCTTTTTTCTCCTTAAAGACCAAAATGATCGTTTTGCAAGCCAAACATACTAGCACAACATGCGATTCTCAATCGCCTATTAGTATAAGATCGCTTATCTCAGTTTTTTGTAGATTCAAATCTGAGGCGCGTTGATAGCACTTATGCTTGCCATCGTTATGCCTTTATTCTGACTCTTGGGAACTGTTGCCTCTTACCACCGCGCACGCTAGCGTCGTGACGGGCCACACCCTAGCCACCATAAGAGTGGTAATAGCATTTTAGTATTATAATAATGTTTGAATATCTATATCCCATCTGTTCACGTGTTTAAAAGATAATGAAAACTTAATGGTGTTGCTGTAAATCAAGGGGTGTCTTATTTTTAGTACAAAAGGATACCCTCTGTAAATTCAAAGATAGCAACGATGCAACAACAATTTTCGAAATTGATAGGTCAGGAGTATTCGGCAGCAGCATACAATGAAAATGAGATGAAAACGGGTAGAAATTTTAGAAGGGTAGTAGATTTTAAGTCGTATAAATTCAAAGTACTTATGATTTGTCTGATTAGGGAGCATCTGAGGACGGCTGATTTGAGAGGTCCGTAGGCGTAAATAATAAACTGCAATACGAGGAGTAAACTTCATATCGCTTGTCTTTCTCCTAAAAATCACCATTCATTATGGGGAATGATTCACATCTCTTCCCAATCCCAAACGAGATCTGCTCCCAGCATCATCAGAATCGATAGCAAAATTCACCAAAAAAACATACAACAGTAGGGATTCGCTGGTGGTCACCCACCCAACTACTAATCTACCGATCTGAGGCTTGTGTATGGCAGAGCGGACGGGATGCCCAATTCTCCTCAGTCTATGGTCGTATGTGGTGAAACGCGTTCTAGTTGACAATATATATATTCGATCCAACGACACCGTTTCGAACCCAGACCCCCACGTCCAAGCAACAAGCGAGACGAATAAACAATGAATACTGCTCATTGAAACATAGTTTGGTTGAAAGATAGAATCCCAATAAACCGTGATTGCATTCAAATTAATGTTGATTTTCATTACATACAGGATATGATATGAAAACAGTTGAAAGCGTGGGTTGACGAACAATAGCTCTACGATATGAGACCACTTTTGAGCCAAGACTCGTTGGCCGACGGGCAAGATATGCTTGTTTGGATGTGTGCCCCATTAATCTATGCAGGTGGATAAGGAAAGTTGGGGGTGAATGTTCTTATCGGGTTGGGAAAATGTTTTTCGAAACAACAGTTTGGGGAAATGGGTTGGATATCATGGAGATGAGAATGTACTGATAGATGAAATGGTTGAATAGTGCAGGTGATAAAAATTAGAGATTATTCGAGTGTTTTGAAGTGCAAGCATCGACTCAAAGACAAATGTAACAGTTTGGTGTGGTATATTGTACCTCCTTCCCACAGTCGGAATCGCATTTCTCCTCCAGATATCTTGCATTGCAATGGCAATAGCTAGTCAAGTAATGTTGAATTATCTCGTCTCGTCATGAGCAATGAGTATATGCCTAGCGAGCCCAAACAAATGAACCTCTGCTCAATCTTACCGACTCTTTTGATACTTAGTATCTCAGGTAACCCATTTTCAAAGAAAGGTCCACTCACGATCCTTTTCCCTGTGTATGCAATAGTGGTAATTCGATCCCTCGATCTTTTATGGTCATACTTGCCATAATTTCTGATGCTGAATACATCCCACTTATTCAAAGTATACATAATCATACGAGATCGGAAGAGCTTTTCATTCATGATAGCAGCTCCCTACAACTAAACTAACGTCGCTCTTTCGTATTTGTCGTACTAAAGATTCCATAGTTGCAAGGATGGATGAAGAACTGCTTCGTCCCCTCGCAACCAATGGCTTTACAGCACCAGTCTAATTCAAAAGATCATTCCATAGTCCAAGACTTCAACATCCAGACTCTCTATCGAGTACATCCGTACTGTCGGAAGCTTTCTCGAACTATATCTAATGTTCGGCTGGGTTCAGATGCAGAACTCTACTTCTCTTCTTCAAGGAACTTCTCGCAGTATTCTATTTGGAATACCTACGGAAGAAAACGGCTTCTATTTATCACCCCAGTCATATTCTCAGAGTCGAACACTAGTTCGTCACCTAATACAAGAATAAGATAATGCTATTTGAAGAGAAATTCTGCAAAAAGTCAAATATCTAGACACAGCATAGCCAGTATAGACTATAGCGATGTATATTGAGACGGAACTCTATCGCCGAAGCCGAAGGAATAGAGTAGCGGGACTGCGACTTCACAGTACAATGAGCCAAAATAGTAGATAACAGCCGACAAACAACTGTAATACCATGAATTCCATCCAGATTGATAATGAATATCTTCATACTTTGTGACAATGGGCCGAGAACACTTGACAGAGGCCACTAGACCTCCAACTCTTCGGCGATTAGAGGAAAGCTGCGACGAAGAGAAAGAAATGGAAGGGTAATCGCGTCATAAAAGCTTAGAAGCAGCTGAGGACATCCCATTTATTTGAATATTTCAATTCATTGTAGCCAAGACCTCCTCGGACTATGCCATTCTCTCGTGAAAGAGATACTTTCGTCCGATAACTCTCATGCTTCTCAAAGTAAACTCCGAAACGACTAGGACTGATTCTGACCAGCATTGTAAGCACAAGGATGTATTTGACGGCACTCGCTACATCAACTGCACGATGATAACACGGGCAACTCCTTTGGGTATCCTTGGCCGTCTGTTCGGATGAACTCTATGGGAGGAAGTGTGAGGAATTGAACCAGATGGGAGATATTCTGGAACATTGGATACAACGCCATCCAACATTCAACGTCCAGAATATTGGGATAAAAACAAAAGTAATTCCAGTTGGATGTAATCATAAGTGAGATTCTAATGAATATCTTAAAGCATATACTTATCATATATCATCGTGAAGAGAAACACCTCCTGCCCGCGCGGGGAATAAATCGGTCAATTTGATGTTCCAAAGAGTTGCTGTTGCATTCATTATTGTTGTTTATCAGAGCCGATAAGGAAACTCTAAGGGTCATTTAGTACCACCAATAGGCCTGGCTCCTAAAGTCTTCACCCCTTCATTCGATGGATCCTCATAATTTCCAAACTTCAATTAACTCCAATGATTACTTCAACGGAGGTGCCATTGAGTTACAATTACCTCAACAATTGAACAACCATCCAATTCAACCAGGTCCAAGATCCTACAAGTCGCGCAAGTATCGACCTTGTGATTTTTGTCGAGCCCGTCAAGTAAGATGTTCGATATCTTCCGCCCCGCCCTGTCAATTGTGCATATCTCATGGGAGAAGTTGCACATTTGTAGATCGGCCAAAGAAGAAGAGAAGGCCAAATCTTGCAGCAAGCAATGGTGATCAGAGTAGTGGATCTACAACATCTACTCGTATGTTACAACACATTACATTACACAATCATGCAAAGGTCGTGTGTATATCATGAGAGAGATTCGCTGACTTGTGTGTCTGTGAAGCTACTGCTCCTTTGCAACAATATGATGTCTCGGCGGCCCAACTTAGTCCCAGCTTCATCAGCCAGTATAGCGAGCATAGTTTTCAAAGCTTGACGGGACATGATGTCTTGACTGAATCGACTTCGTCTCCAGATCAACAGATCCTCGTCCAAGATGGCTCGCCGATATATAATTTGGATCCTTACTTGAACATGATGCAAAGCACACGAATAAGGCCCCTCGATTCCCAGCATTCTACAAAGTCGGCAAGATTTGTTGGAGAAATGGGTGAATCAAATCCATACCTGCTGCGTCATTACCGCTATAATGAAAACGATGAGTGTACAATATCAAAGTTAACATACCGGCGAATCAAGAACTCCTCAACACAAAATAGTTTTTCGACCCAGAAAGGAGAACCTCCTGTTGTATTTATGCTAGCAGATGATAGCTTTGCGCAGAAAGGGGAGCCAAGGATAGATGACGACGTTCTCAGTAAAGCCGAATCAGATCTGAGGGGCATGTTCACAGATCAAGAAGCCCTTCGTCTTATAGGTCTCTTCTTCCGATTTGTATATCCCTATTTTCCTATTCTATCCAAAAGCCAAGTATTCCAGTCACCAGGAGTACTCTCCCCTGCGATTCTGCATACGTTACCATTTTCTCTGTTGTCGGCAATATATGCTACAGCCCTACCATTTATGTTGTATGATGATTTCCTCGCTACAACTCTTATACATTCACCTCCGACATCACATGAACTGTTTCGTTTGTCCTGGCTCTTTATTCAACAAGAATTACACATTCCACGACTTGCAACAGTACAAGCATGTCTATTGCTACTCCAGCGAGCGCCCACAAATCGATATACAACCGACACACCTTGGAAAACAAGTCTTGTGGGATGGACAGTGAGTCTTGCTCAGATTCTGGGGTTGATGAAGGAATGTAGTGACTGGAGTAGTATACCAGTATGGGAAATGAATCTGAGAAAAAGGCTTTGGTATGGAGTTTTTGTCATGGATAAGTGGGCATCTTTAGGCGCGGGAATGCCAAGTCATATACATGCTGATGATTTCGACGTCCTCCCACTTGAAGACAACGATCTTGAAGCATCAGCCCCCGACCCCAATCAACCCATTACAGAATCAGAACCCGATTCGGAACACTTTCGGTTACTAGCCGAGCTGACTGCCATTCTCAGCGACATTGTTGATTCTTATTACACAGTGCGGGCAACACAACGTACATCGAAAGATTTCTCACTGTCCCTCGAACTAGCAAGACCTCTCCGCACACGGCTTAAGGCTTGGAACGATTCATTACCTCCTTCTATGTCTCTCCGTCAAACAGAACATTTAGATTCCCGCGGTCTAGCCCAATTGAGTGGAAATCCATCACTTTCACTCGCCTATATCATCGCAACCATGACATTATTCCGAGCTCTTCTCCGACCTCTCGAAAACTTAACAAGCGTAGAAGAAGAAGCAACAATAGGTAGTCGTCTAGCTGTGCGAGCTGGGGCCAGAGAATGTGCAAAGGAAGTTGTTGAGTTTGTAGAAAATCTTGGGAGAGGTGCTTTAGATGCTTTTTGGCATTCTTGTAAGTTTTCACCGCCCTTCCTGCCTACAATCGCTAATCGAAGATCAGGGTCTCGTGCAAACTTCGCAATAGCATCATCGTTTCTTATGCAACTACTTGTCACATCCGAAATCGAAACCGAATCGGCCGAGATCCACGAGCTTGTGACTCGTTGGAGATGGGCCATGAGGATTGGTAGTGGTAATGCCGGGAACGGACTCATGAGTTTGGGCTTGCTGAGATTGGATGGCTTATTGTTGAAGAATGGTGGCGCCGAGGCGGGTGTATGAATACTGGAGACTGTCCTGGATGATTTATTGTGCTTATTTTGAGGATATCTTGGAAAGAATCCATTTCATACAAACCATAACATCCGAGAGCGTCATAGGCTGTACTATTTAATAAGATATCCTCACATAAAACGAGGGTTTTCAGGTAGCAATTTGTTTGGTGTTTCGGGCGTTGAGAAGAAAACAAATGGAAAAATGGAGAGAGAGGCGAAGAGAAATTGGAAAGGGGAGGAGCTACGGTTCAAATATTGGCGAATTGGTGCACGAGGGAAGGTATCTTGGCAGTCGTGACCAAAGGGTCAGGCGGATGAATAAATCCTCGTTCGTTCCTGAGATGGCGGGATTACTAAAACAAGCACCAGAATAGAAATACCACAAATTTATATCTGCCACCCAGTACAGGTCTCTCAACTCTCAGACCATCTATTCCTTCCTCTCTTTCTTCTTCTGATGGCCATTTTCTCCTTTCCCATCCTTTTCCTCTTCTTCCTTCTCTCTCTTTCTCTTTTGAATAGCTTCAGGAGGACTATCTTCAATCAAATCACTCTTGTCATTCAAGCCCGTCCATTTAGGTAATCCATCATGAATATCTACTAGGCGTCTTGAATAGAACATATGACATCTGCATCACGAACATCAATTAGCAATTCCTTCATCTCATCCTGGTCCGATTTTCTCCTGCGAAATAAAAAGACCACAACAAATTTTTGAGACCGAGAGAGAAATAATTAAGGGAGGAAACTAACGTAGGGTTAAACTTCTCTTTCTCCTCTTGATTCTTGAATTTAATCAAGCTCGGGAAAAGCAATATCATGTTTCTTCCCTCGTCCATGATGGGCGTACGACAGTATGCACAGCTCACTTTGCAGGGAAGCTTGTGACGAGTGGTTTTCTCTTCAGATTCGTACCTGGTTGGGATGTTAATTGGTGGATGAGACGAGACTATCAGGTAAAGATATTTGGGGGGTTTTTGAGCAAGGGAAAAGGGAAGAGGGCAGTTGGAAGAATTGGAAGATACATGTACGTACCAACCTAGATCATGATGTCCATGGGTGAAATTGATATCTTCTTTATGGAAAATCGCAGCCCATTGAAATGGTGCTCCTACAGATCCTTTATATTAGCATTTTTCTCATTTTCATCCCTCCTCGCCTTCCTATCTCATAACCTCCGTCCTCTCTCTCTTCTCTCCCCCTCCTCCCTTATCTATCTCTTCATCTCCCTCCCCCAAACCAAAATCCAAACCCCCCCAAAAACTCACCATGCAAAACCTGACAAGTCGTACAATGACAAAACTTCGCACTCAAAGGCCTCTCCCTACTCAACTGATACTTCACCCGTCCACAATGACAACCCCCCTCATACAGCACTTTGAAATCCTCATCGTTTTCGTGCACTTTATACGGGACTCTGAATTTCCACTCATTGTGGTCGCCTTCAATATCCTCGTCTTTGTGGCCTTGGGATCGGGCTTCGTTTTTGGCGTCGGAGGTGGAGTTGTCTGAGGAGGGGGACATCTTGAAGGTGTGGTAGGAGTGAGAGTGAGTGTGAGTGTAAGTGTGGGATGTGTGTTGATTGGGATAAGAGGAAGATATGGGAATTGATTGGAATGAGAATGGAAATTTAAGGTAGATGGAAGATGACTGAGAAAGGAAAAGAAGATTACTGATGTGAATTCTACGTCTTAAAAACATCCAAATGTCGACAAACAATTAGTATTATACATGGAAAGAACAAAAGCAAAAACGCAAAAAAACACCCAACCACTTTAGGAATATTTAAATTGATATTGACTGTCTCATTAACCTTTTGAATTCTTAGTTAGGTGTAGACCTACATACAAGTTGCCCAGTAGCTATTCTTTCTTCTTCATATTCATATCGTCATTTGTTGCATCTATGATGGAAACACTTTCTATACTGCGGGGATTGTACCTGGATAGTGGGGCAGCATTTAAAGGACCACCAGCCAACCGAGCTAGGCTTGTACATCATGACGTGCGCTACTTTAGGTAGTCCTCGCAGGACTATTCATCACGTGTCCATTCCTAAACCACACAAAATACTAGAATACTAGATAATCGGTGGCACATCTCCCATATCCCATATCCCATATCCCATGTCCCATGTCTCATATCCCGTATTTTGAGCTGGCAACCTCTAAAGGGGTAGGAGGGTTAACCTTTCTGCTCCTCGCATTTTAATACTCGACTCACGGTAAAGTATAATAATCTATGTCTTTTTACGTTGTGTGCTGGGAACTTCCAGCTTGGAATGTTGATGAAGCTAATCAACGGCCCCCATAAGTTCCCGGTCCCGATGAAACTATCTGTTGACTAGTCTTGGGATCGAAACCCAGAACATTTATGAGATAATCAAGCCTAAATGTCGATTAGCGTCGGTAATTGTAATGTCGTGACGACCGATTAAGAGCTAGAGAAAAAGCTTACCTTGCTTCTGAGCCAAGCTTCTCTTTCAAATTTTTAAAGTTCTGTAAACATTCCTCCCATTTAACGGCACGCTTCTGCGGTGAAATTGATTTAATAACCATGTGGAACAATCCAGTTACGGGTCTATGATCAGACACTCGAACCTCATGTCGACGGTAATCGAGCTGCTCTACACGATTGTGTCCACGGTAAAGTAATCGATCACACCAAGCGGGTGCTCTTTTTTTCTCACTCGTGTCATAATTGTCAGTTCCTACATCGTATTTATAGGTCGGCGCGAAAGTGATGGGTAGTTCGTGGAAAGCGCGTAATCGAAACCACGGGTTTTTGCGTTTTGAAGCAAGAAGTTGATCTCGCTCCAGAAGTTTTGCCAAGTTATTGGCTTTTACCGCATTAACCACAGTATCTCTGCCCATTGTATCGATACGGTAGTTCAAATCGCCATTCAAAATGCAGATTTCATGATCGAGGATCATTGTTCCATCACCGCCGCCCACAAAACTATCTATGCGGACGCTGTGATCGCGTTCTGCAGGTAGAACCTGGCTTTCGAGGATCATACTTATGTCTGTGTTTCTATCTTTCGTTTGTGTTTGTCCAGCAGCAAGATGACAGTTAATGAAGCACATCGATGTATCATCCAGCATAAATCGAAGAATCAATGCGCCCTAATGTACGTCAGAAAACTCATATTACTAGCAGAAATTTTCGCGAAGACTCTTACCTTGTTCCCATGGAGTCCACCCATACCCCTTTTGATTTCAGCAGCATTGATATTTTTGATTCGTGGTAGAAGTGGAGATCGAACAAATACGCATGTGAATAGGCCAACTAGATTTGCTGTGTGAAGCAAGTGGTATATTTCGCCCTGAACATAATCATCTAAGCATCTGGTAAGGAAGTCTCGCCAATTTCGATATTGATGGCTCATGTGTTCATGATCAGAATCCTTCTCCTTCTTCTTCGATTTGAAGAAACTTTCTACCAGCCAGTTAGAAGGAAACTGTAGAAATTGGCATTGTACTTACTAGCGGTAGTCTTTTTATCTTCCAGATCAACCAGTTCCTGGAATCCGAAGACTAATATATCTGGTCGATCGCTGTCTTGAAGAAGTTGAGGCAAAAACCTCGAATCTTGATCAGATTGTTGAAGATGATATGGAGTAGATGCGCCCGCGTTCCACGTCATAACTAAAGTCTTGATTGGGGTAAGTTTGCAGAAATCTGCTTCCTGAGATTGCATCTGTTGCTCCATCCAATCATCTTGAAGCAGACCATCCCATGCTCGTACCATATTGTCCTGGCCCAAGGAAATGACATGTTCCCGATCAAGCATCCAAAAGCTGCTACGGTCAACAAATAGGCCAATAAGTGGATCATGATGAGCACGCCAGTCCTTCCTTACGACCCATGGAGTATAAGTAGTATCATATACATATACCATACCCGTACTAAAGCCAGCCCAAAGATTACTGCCTACACCCACAAGAGATGTGATTTTATAAACGCTGATATTTACTACTCCTAGGCATGCATAATCATGTCGAGAATATATGCTTACTTTTCCATCAACATGACCAAAGTATATCCGGTCAGGCTGAGAACTTATGACAGCACCCGATGTTACTTCACCTGCATCCGGTTGATGAAGGGGGCGTTGTAAAACCTGAAACTGGGAGCTTCCATCTAGTGTGGGGATGAAAACCCGTATATCCTTGCCTGCTGCGTGCCACAATTCACCATCAATAACCAGCGAAAATGTATGACCTTTCGGAAGTCGATAGCTCTGGGATGGGTTGTTGGTCAAATTAGGTTCACCAGTGTCGTCTGAAGCCCATAAATGCAATGATCCGCCATCATCAAGTGTCCACAATTCGTTCAAGTGACGATAAATTTTAATTATCTCACGACGAGTGTGGGCGTTGGACTTGCTCGCAACAATGCTTCCGCTTGAAATGTCAACCTCAACCAAATCTCCAATATTGTTACCTAACCATAGCTTTGTGCCCTCATTTTGTACTTCCGCTGCTGGCTTGAAAGCTACAGATACGACTTTAATTCCCTCGGTTTGAGCTAAGCTCATAACTACACCTCCGTCTAGTAGACTCCAAACCCTAGTTAAGTGGCCAGTGGTGCATACGTATTCTCCGCAAACATCTAAAATGCGAGTATCATACTTTGTTGATATTTCGTATGCCCCTTTAGTAAAGTATGGAGGTCTACGGTTTGAATGAGAGGTATCCGGATATTCGCCTGCCTTGAAAGATAGGCCTTCCCTGGTTACTGGAGTGGAGGGCACATCACTCGAAGGACGATGGTCGATTCTAGTTGACACAGACACCACCGGAGTTCTGAACTCGGCCGGCGTTTTATCGCTTGTCCTATCAACTGTCATAGATCTCCCATGAGATCTAGTTGGAGTTTGTAATTGGGCCGTAGGGTTTGAAAGAACTCTTTTTGGAGGGGTCGCGAAATTTTGTCCGTTGTCGACCGGCATAGCATTAGTCACTGGGGGTCTTGATCTGTCAACGGAAGGCCGAGGAGGTGGTGGCATTGGCCGGCTAGGTAACGCAGGTCTTCGGTCTCCCCCAGTAAATTGCGGGGATATTATAGCTCGACCTAGACCATTGGTCTCCTGATCTCTCTGTCTACTTGAAACGGAATGGTGTCTAGGGGGAGGCTCGAAAGATCTAGACGAAGGAGTGTAGGAGACTGGCCGTGGCCTATTTCGCGGTAATGGTGGAGCTACTGGATAGTCGTTTTCGATACTTCCTCCACTACTTGGAGGGGTACTAAATGGAGATGTCTTTTCTATAGGTATTTGAACGGATATAGGTGCTAAGTTCACACTTTCTGCGCTTGAACTGAACCCTACCGGTTTACTTGATATCTTAGGTTTGTCGGCGCGATTGATCGGCGGAGGTCCAACCTTGAATGATGAATTCCTTCTCACCTCGCCTGATCGTCTAGGAGGAGGTGGCGAGGGCGGCAGTGAAGATGGCGAGTTTTTGTTTTCCGTCAAAGGTGTGTTTGACCGACTAGGAATCTTGAAATGGCCCTGGGAGGAACTATTGAATGAAGCCGAAAAAGGTGCATCTGTCGATAAATACGCAGAGGCGTTTGCCAATGAAAGATTCAGATTCTTTATCTTTGGAGGTGATTGAGGTGGCTGAACAGTAACGGCGGGAGGGGCAGTTGATATTGGCCTTAAAGAAGGAGTAATAACTCGAGTAGGTGAGGGAGATAACTTTCGACCGCCATTCGCACGCGGAGGGCGCAGTGTAACATCAGTCGCTTCTGCATCACGACCTCTCGTAGATTGAACTGATTCCGCTAAATGCGTTACTGACTCCGGTCGGTTCGGTATGGTTGGCGCTACTCTGGCGGTATCTCCAGGACTAGCAGTATTCCTCAAACCTTTTGGGGAAACTCCTCTTGTTGCAGTGTTATTGGCCGGTTGGGCATTTGCCATTTGTTCGAAATGGGATCGCAGAGATGAAACTGGTTTCTAGACAAGTCAAATATTAGCAGGCCATTCGCAGAACTGTATGTTATTATATTCCTACTATGGACGAGCCATCTAAGCTCTCTTTCTCTGGCTCCTCCATGATGTATGCTTTGTGCTTTGCAAACTAAGAACAAATGTCGCATGCGATTGAATATAAGAATTCTATCCTCTGTTTCATAAGAGGAGCCTCTGGTATTAGAGGACCAATGTCAAGCTCGTCGTCATTGGAAATGGGACGTCTAGCCCGTATATTGTAGCCTCGCAGGCCGGTACTGTTGTGTCTGGAATATCTATGGGATCTTCAACTCCTGTAATCGTAAACATGAAAGGAAAGATACTATTAATAAAGATTGAAGGTAACCAAGTGAATGGATGTTTAAGAGAGTGTTGTTGGTTTCCTCGAAAGAAGTTGCAAGTAATAGCGAGGGGTCAAATTATGTTGTTGGTGTTATTCTGTGAATAATACTATAGGTACCTGGCTATGTGAGATCAAAGGTTCATTTCCAGAGTGTACATCCCTCATTGTGGCTTCGCGGCAATTTGCAGGGGTCAGGCTGGATTGTTTGAGAGTGTTTTTATGTTTCAATGATCCGCAGAGAGATATTAGAGGTGCGCAATTATCTGATCTGATCTGATGGGAAGAAGGCGACAAGGCTACCATTTCCATTATCGTACCATTATGATGATGGCATTAGAAAGATTTTTATATATTCAATAAAGAACCCAAATTTCCCAAAACTACTTTGACTTCTTAAACATTGCAACTTCAATAGCCACTGTTTGTGTGAGAGTATTTCAGAATCCAAATCTATCTTCAATATGAACACTGTAAGTGATTTGATTGCCATTGTGGGCGAAAATGAGCCTCATACTTGCGGACAGCTAACATAATTTAGGTGAAATCTTTCTGGTACTGTCCCAAATTCCACGCCTCGGATTCCAGTACATTGAAAGCAGCTCTCGACTAACATAATCTATACAGGGTTGGATGGGGCTCGTTATGTGTCGGTATGTTTGGAGAGCTGGAGAGACGTCCCCAGTGATCAAGTACTAACAAAGGATTCCAGCCGGCGGGACAGCATACTATTTCGCAAAGCAATCGATCAACGCGGATAGAGCTGCGCGATTCGAGGCAGATCAGAAACGCAAGAGGCAGCAGGAAGCCCTAGAATATTCTGGCAGAACAGATGGTTATGCGGGATCAGGAAGCAATGGCGGGCCAGCAAAATTGGACTCTGCCGGTTCTCCAAGCCAGGAAGTATCGACAACTGAGCCTGCGCCGACAAGACATGCACCAGCGAGCGAGGGACAGCGTGTAAGGGAAAAGAGCAAATACGAACCGTCGGAACCATTCAGATCAAAGAAGGGCGATAGGTTCAGTTGAAATGAGCGACTTCATTGTCATTAAATAATGCAAATCTACTCACGACAATTTGGCTTGGTATTGGAGTTGGCGCTGGGAACTGGGTGCTCCTATGTATGTGTATACGTTAATCTCACAAAACTCTACTCCTATCGAATTCTCGGATTATGTGAACCCTTTGAAACATGTTCCTTTCATCATTGTTGCTACAGTCGAGTACACAACTTATTCGCCATAGGCAAGAAGGCATGAATATTCATTGCCCTTCTTGTCAATTGATGAATAGATCGGAACTCAAAAACTCATTAGAGTCAATAGGATTATAACTATAAAATGCAAAATAGTCAAAAGAGTAAAAATAATAAAGAGGAAGTGATTGGTATGAAGAGCTTGCTGAATCAATTGGTGATGAATTTATTGAAGGATGATCAACCAGCATGTTCCCTTAGCACACTCTAGCGAATCTGGACCTTTCGTCGCGAAGCTTCATTTCAATTTCATTGAATCATCCCACTTCAACAAGATAATCAAAATCACACCCAAACTTAACCACATCTCAGATCAATTCTCTTCCTTTAGATCCCAATAAATCATTTGCGAATGGCAAAGCTCTTACATACACATTGAGTCTGCTTTAAACGACTTTTCAACAATGGCGTCGCATCAGCTTGCCATAGCTAAAGCCTCGTTCTCTGCAAGTCTTCTTCGACGCGATCCAACACCAGTCTCTAGAGAAGCCATCGCAGAGTTTCATAGCCATCTGAATAATGTCATACTACAATGCTCGTCAATAAATGTCCAGGTTTGATCATACACTCTAATGGATGTTGTTATGCGATAACTAAATCGTGTCCGAGGATAGAAATGCAAGCAATGGATATTGGAACATATTGTACAATCTGCAGCAAGATTTACAGCGCTGGGAAAATATTTAACAGTTCTCACGGCATCATTCACCAAATCCTTAAACGGCGAACCTTCAATCAAGCGTAAGCGCATGCATATACTCTACCTTCTTAACGACATCCTCTACCATTGCAAGTACCGAATCAACGATGCATCTGTTTGCGGCAAGATTCAACCTGTATTGGTTAATCTACTAGGAAGCACCGCTTCATTCAAAGATTGTCCAAAGCATCAGCAAAAGATTCAGGATCTACTAAACATATGGGAAGAGAGAGGATATTACTCCAATGAATACATCGGAAAGCTGCGCGAAGCAGTAAAGATCGCTTCAGAAGTCGGGCAATTCACTGAAGAATTGACTGGGTTGGCAGAAAATGGAGAGCAAGCTCTTGCGCCAAAGTTGAATAAGTCCGCACCATTTGTTATGCCAGCAACGCACGGAGACACATCGATGCCTTGGTTCGATTTACCTGCTGGAAATTTGATGCCGCATATCGTTCCCAACTCAACCAGACCAATAAATCCAGATATGGTTAAACCATTGCAGTTTGTTGCCGGACCCGCGGATGAAAATCTTGTTATTGCTGTGAAAGCTCTCCTGGACGATGTTCAAACAATTTTTGGCGCGGAACCTGGCCAAGACGAAAGAAGTGTGTCTGATGTGGACGAACTTGGTCAGCCAATCATCCTAGATGAGATTACCGGCGAGATACTTGACGGAGAGGGTTATTATGGATGGTCAAGAGTGTTCTGTGAAAGGATGAAGAGACGTCGTAAGGGACTGGAACCAGTTGGTGAACGTGGTCAACACAGTCAAAGTGAGAGCTTGAGCCCACAGAGAAAACGGCGCCATAGCGAATCAGAAGATTCAGACAGAAGTTTCGTAGAAAGGAGTCGCCGACAGCGACGCTCATACAGCTCTTCGCGCTCACCATCCCCAGATCACGAAAATCGTTCCAACTATAATGGTCGTTCCAGGTCACCTTCAAAAGGCATGCGACAAGATTATGGCGCATCAGGTGGCAATGAGAAAAATCATTCTTCGAGCGGCTCTCCCAATCAATCTATTGGGAACGGCAATCCACCAATACCTGAGACTTACAATTTGGCCGCAATACCTGCCCAACAGAGTGGTTTCCCCTCAAATCAGACATACACAAATCCATCAATGCCGTACCAGCCGTACCAGCAAGGTTTCAACCAAGGATTCCCTCCGAATATCACTCAACATCAAGGCTCAATGCCGTGGCCACCGCCTCCTCCCCCAGGGCCTCCACTTTATCCAAACATGCCTTTCAACCCTGTTAATCCACAATGGCCGCCACCACCACCTCCCCCCATGTCTAACGTTTCTTCAAATTTTCAACAACCCCCGGGTGGTTATCCTACTGGGCCTACGGGTTGGCAACCACCAATACAGGGAGGTCAGGGGAGAGGCTACAACAAAGGATGGAACAATTCTTACGGTGGGCAAGGTAGGGGCGGTAGAGGAAATTATAGGGGTAGAGGGGGTTGGCCATGATTCATGAAGTTTTCACACATGATTGTCATTTCATTTTCTGTTGAATGTATTGGGAGGAAGTTGTGTGGTTATATGAAGCCCCCACGCATCGTCATCAAAAAGCGGAGTACCCTGCTACCAAAATAATAGCAAGTAAAATTTATATCATGAAAGAAAAAATCCTAATATCGAATTGTCTCCTTGTGCACCGCATCTAACCGGTGAGTGGTCAATGCGCATGATTCTAGCCGAATTGTAAGAATCGAATGCGAGAAGTGATATGATAACAATCAGGTGTGACCTAGACCTAAATCATATTATTCAGCATCTGATATGTTACCTATTGACAGCTGATGCTTGAGAAACCTGTTTGGTCAAGCCTCAAGATACTGTATACGGGCAGCGGCGATGACCAGCCCTTTCTAGGACTTTCGGTCTCACTCCCGGGACAAAGATGTCGGGAGGACAAATGAAACCATAATGCCTCCGTTTTCCCTATCTATCAGCGGGGCGGCAATTGCGTTGAGAAAAAAAATAATGTCAGAAGTTTAGGTCATGGTTTTTCATGGGCATTCAACAACATCAGATCAGGATCACCAAGTGATAGGTAGAAGTTTGCGTCGCAGTCAGAATCTTTTAAATCCTGATGATCTTTGTCATCGGACTCGACTTTTCTTGATTTCGATGTGTGGCAATCAAGATGTATTTTTCATAGGTGGGCTGTCAGCAGTAGCAGTAATGTCCATCTTGAGTTGTACAGTTCACATTCCACCAATATATACATCCGAATATACTCGAGCGTGTTGTGATGGCTTTCGTGGTGATATATTGAGCGTCGTCGACGGAGAGTGGGGATGTAATCAAATTTGAATGTCGTGATACCGTGACAAGTATTTGGTATTATTATCTTGTCACCTCGAATAATGTGACAATACAATCTACGCCGCGATTTGACCTATCTGTAGTACTTCCCCATATTGTGTGCACCAGACTATGATACTTTGAGATAGGCGTACGTCTAAAATCTGTACATCGTCTATTAATACCTGGGTACTACTCATGGTGCACACCACCCACTGCAAAACATTATTCAACGGGTTTGGATTGACATCATGCTTGCTTGCGCATTGTGTGTGGGATTCACATGAGGTGTGATTCTCTTCATGGGAAGGAGATGGATACCTTTGTCCTGGGTCTTTCTTCAACCTTGTGATCAGCTTCCTTACTTCGTATCACGTAGTTAGGTATCATGATTCTCGATGAGCGATGATGTTCTTGCAGCTTCCTGGGTGGTGAGGATGAGAAGAGCTTGGCTATCCATATCCAGAATTAGGTCCAAACATCGATGTTCCAATGAATTAGCTTCTCGCAAGTGAGTAACAACCTTTGGTCTCATCTAATCTCAATCGCCTCAATTCAACCAATCATCCCACTTTAGAGCACAGTCAATTAGTTAGTGAATGAATGAATCGGTAGGACATGGGAAATATGGAGATATAATATTCGAGGTCACTAATAAAGCCATTCGTACTACTTCTTCCTTATCAACAACCCAAGACTCAAGGGACCAAAAAGATTATGGACCGGTCCCGCTCTCCGGCTCTTTACAATCCGTTCCATTTGAGAATGTCCACGATGATTGAAAGAATGAGTCTTATTGTCTTGTTAAAAAGTTGTCGGATGACTCGATGAGAACAAAGAGAATAGATTTTCACCCTTTCATCTTTTCTTCAATTTGCAATCCCATTCGTCAATTCATCTCCATTTCCTTCTTCTCTCGCATTTTTCCCATTCTATCTGAGCTGGCAATTGCTGCAGGAAAGCCAATATAAGAGCTTTTTTTCCTTCCATAGGGCGCCAGTAACCTTGACAAGCCATCTTGCATATCCCGTCGCATCCTATCGCAATACCAATACCAATCCTCGGAACACAGTTACACAGAAAGTACCCAAGGAAGACGTTGTAGAACCCACACATCAGTACCTTACCCATATACCCTTGGGATACAACCGTCCACACACCACCACCTCACACACCTAGCACATCTAATACACCTAGACCTCATACCACCTTTGTACAATTCAAAGAAAACTCTCCGCTCGGGAAAGCATCTTATAAGTCCCCGCCCCTCTACGTATGCAAGCAAGATTAGGACTGTTCTCTAACTACCAACCATACCCATACCTATCATACCAACCATACATCCAATCCAATCCAATCCACGTTTCGTTTTTATATTGAGCCGCCCCTCTTTCCTTTGGGTCGGTTTATTGCAGGAATTCTGCAGCTAAACAAGTGCAAAAGAACCACTTCACAACAAAATTTGTATCGCGCGAAGGTACCCCCACATTATCATTCGTTGCTTCGTTCGTGGCTTATGCAGGAGATAGAGCTTCCAGTTAAGCACTTTCAATACTACCCTAGAGTCCCTGAATTACTACTATCTTTTTGCGAAAAGAATAAAACCCTCCACCAACCCCCCCCCAAACAGAGAAACTCACACTTTTGGTTTTGGCCAACCTTCAGCTGAATTGAGACAAAGGTTCTGCATTTGTCTTATTGCGCGTGGAATTTCGGCTGTATAAGAAGTGGGATGCGTTTGTGGATAGATCATCTGAGTTGCTGACCTTTCTCGATTGATTCGAAGAGATTACCCCGCTGTTGATGTTTTGGAGAAAGCCCCTCCTTTGTTCGTCTCGTTTTCATCTATGAACATATTCTCTTCATTCCATTTCGAACATTAAATACATCAGCCAATTGACTTGAAGTCCCGCCCCTTCGGAACAAACTTCCTCGATTGAAGAGAGGTTTCTTTCAGAAATTCGAAACTTCCAAGTCTTGCTGTCTTGCTTTGGTTCTCTTGCTTCGGGTGGCTGCAAGGCACTACAGCCTAGGAGGGCCGGCTTGCATAAATCCCTGGCATTGTACCGACGGCAGGAAAGCCAAAAACTGGAGAAACGAAAAGCATTATGAATGCTCAAATATCATTTATTGTGAGTAAACTTTTATTCAATTAGTTATTGAAAAGTCAGCAGAGAATGGGAATTAGCATGTTGTTGTCGGGTTGTCGCTTGTATAGGGGCTGGAGGATGGATACATCTGAATGGTGTCTCGATGCAAAGCTATGATGTACTTTAGTCGAGACTCACCATCACCTGTTTTCAAATTCAGTTGAGATTTGAAGAGGAAGTGATTGTTAGTTCTCTCTCAAAGAATGTGAATAGTTTCGTCCCGAGATCAGGTTCGAGATTGACTTCAGACAATAACAAAGCTCTCACATAAATACTGTTCTTGCTTTCATTCTTTCCCATCTACACCTTCTTGTCAATGTAGCTATCATGGAATTGTTCAAAGTCTATGACAATGACACTCCAAATAATCCACATACTCTTCAAACAATTACTAATCTCTACCAGAAAGGCGAATTCAGCCTAATCCACATACCACTACCTCTATACTCTTTGCTGTTGCAACCAATCCTGAGAGTTCTGCTACCATACAAGGAAGCAGACCCAGCATCTGAGAATGAAGATGATGAAGAAAGTCTTGTCTTTGATCAAGAACATGGTTTTCTCAATATCAGTGTAACCCCAATCGAATGCTCAGTTGTCTGTCATAAGTCTTGGGCGGAAAGTGTCTTTCAACCAATTATCGATGCTTTGCCCAAAGATGAAAACAATCAGGTTCAGATATCAACGGATAGCTACATTGTTTTCTCTGTAGACAGTACTGGTACTGATGCAGGTCAAAGAGTCATGGATCTCACTTCACCTCTCGGTAAGTTCATATCACATACTCATTCTTCCACTAATTACTATACTAACATACCATCAATAGCCATGGCTGGCGTTCCCATATTCTTCATCACAACCTACTTCACAGATTTCATCCTCGTCCCCTCGAAAGACCGCCACAAAGTCGGGCAAACCCTTCTCTCCCGGGGTTTCGAATTCTCCGAAGAAGAATCCGCCTACGTCGTCCCAACCCCAACATCTCACTCCCGAGGCCCCAGTTCGAATTCCAACCCGCCATCTACTCCTCCCCCCTCCAACATCGCCGAACTCCAAGCCCGCACCTTTAAGCATCTCAAGCGGAGAAATGTAAAGCCGTTCGTGCAGCCTGGTCTCCACCTCATCCAATGTTCCGGTCGCGACCGCGAAATCAAAGATCGACCCACGTCAAACGGTAATGGAAATGGTACGCATACTTCTTCTCCCCTCGATAAACTCAACACCCGTCTCTACATCTCCATCATCTCGGCGCTACTGCACCAACCTACTTTCCTCTCTCTCACCATCTCCCTCGAAGAAGGCTCTTCTCTCCTCCTCGACAAATCTCTCCTTCCTCTCTTTGGGAACTCAATCCAAGGAGACACGGACGGGGATCTCGTGCCGATTTTCCTGGATCTGGTGGATTTACCATTGGAAAGTACGGGGATCGTGTGTGGCGTGGCAGGGAAACTAGTCGATGAGATGCGCATGAATGATCGGCCGGACGAAGAGGGCGGCTGCATGTTTGGAAGAGAATTGTCGTATTTGAGCACGGCGCGGGCGGGCGCCGTGGTGTTGAGTGGTGGGGGGAGTGAGAGAGCGTTGGAGATGTTGGGAGGGTTGTTAGATCGGGAGCTGTAGGGGTGAGGGTACAAGTGTAGATGAAGATGGGGTAGCCATGGGAGGGTGTGATATATATGTTCTAATCCTAATGTTGGACATGAAAGAATGGAAGGACGGAAGCATAGAGGCCGTGTGGAGGGATAAATGGATGGGTGCATACTGAAAGAAAGACTGGGAGAAAATTGAAAAGAAGCAAGCGAAAAAGTGCATACGTACATAAGGGAGGCGAGATTTATTCTTTACCAGGCGAGGCGGGTGGCTGGTTTGCTTACTTGCTCGCTACATGATTTGAGCATACATGTGCGATGCATAAAAGGAGTTTTTTTTTTTGGTTATCTGCTCTGCACTGCACTTTGGGGATGGGATGGGGTGGGGTGGGGTGGGGTGGGCAGAGGAATGGATGGTAAGGGATTGGATATTAAAAAAGTTATATGGGATGGATGAGATAGGTGTGGAATATTAATTTAACTTAATTTAATCTGGTCTTGCTTGTTTGGTTGATAGTATGGGATGGGATGGGTGTTGGTGAATATAAAATAAGAGAGGGGGGAGGGGGTAGATAATAGTTGGGTAAGCGGATTTATGTAGGGGAGAGGGCAGGAGATGAAAAAATAGGAGGACGTGAAAGAAGATTGGATGAGAGGAGAGAGGATAAGAAATGGAAGAAGTAAAGGGAGGGAAAGAAGGCGAGGGTGAAGTTCATGAGATGAATATACGTAGATGCAGATGTGTAGATGGATATAGTGTGTACCATCCGATCAATACTCAACTCAAATCTGGAGTGAGAGGAATTCCATCCCTCTCCTGATTCATCTCTACTTCTCTCGATTACGTGCGAAATTGGTGTGCGTCAGGGAGGATGCGGATGTGTAATCGATGTATTGTGTATTATAGGAAGGTGGATAGATTATCTATGTAGGTATTTATGAGTAGTTCTGATGGTACTATTTGATACCTAGATTCAAGATATGGGATGTAGATTATGAAAGAGAGATGAGAGATGAGAGATGAGAGATGAGAGATGAGAGATGAGAGATGAGAGATGAGAGATGAGAGATGAGAGATGAGAGATGAGAGATGAGAAATAAGAAATAAGAAATAAGAAATAAGAAATAAGAAATAAGAAATAAGAAATAAGAAATAAGAAATAAGAAATAAACAAAACGCATTAATAAAAGGAGGAAGAGAGGAGGGGAGGGGAATGTAGAATAAAGTTAACAAGAATTGAATATTGAGTATCATATCTCAAATCTCAAATCTCAAATCTCAAATCTACACACACACACAACCTCCCCATTCCTCCCCATTCCTCCCCACCCCCTCCACAAAAAGAACATCTAGTAAGAATCAGTAATCTGACAAGTAAGTCACAACTAAATTTATATACACATCCCCTAAAGAGATAACCAAACTCATAACTTACAACTTACAACTTACAACTAACAGTATATATACACTATCTCCATTCTCTCATCCTCTCATCCTCTCATCCTCTCATCCTCTCATCCTTTCATCCTCTCATCCAACATCTAGGAGTGTACCACATAGCACATATCACATAGCACATATCATATCATATCAATCCAACAAACATCATTCCCAACTTTCCATAAGAGGTTGTAAAATTCTCAAATTCTCAAATTTCACATCTCGTAGTAGGTACATACGACTGTGAGGTTATGAAAGGATATTTGAATATCCATACCCTTCCATCTCAAACACATATTCCGAGTTCATTCATCATTCGGCAAGAAAGGAGAAGAAGAATGAATTGATTAATTCTTCTGTGTAGTTTCTACCTATTCAATTACAATGATGACTTCTCACATCGATCTTGTAAATCCTCTGTATCGCTCAGAAGATAAAGATTAGGTTGAGAGCCATAGATATGTCTTCATCCGCCCATCCTCAGCATCTCGCTCAAACGCAAACCCCCCATCATCGCTTATATATCCCATGAAAACTACTTCCTACTTCCCACTTCCTATTCATTCGGAAGCCCAATCTTACAGCCGGGCCATGCCATCCCTATGCTTTTTTACTTTTCCAACGTGATTCTCCATTCAATTTTCGGCTCTTGAAATCAATTATAACTGATTCAACATTTTCTCCGAACACAATGCTTGTGGGATTGATATCGTTGTGAGTTATGCCCAATGATTTAGTGTTGATATTATCCGCGAGAATCCCACACAAAGGTTGTTTTATAGTATCGTTGGCTATGAGTAAATGCGAAGAAGTCCGGATTGTTCATATGATATTAACTTTTTGTTGACGAGTTGCTCTGTATCACTCGAAAATACCCGATATTCGTCCGCTGGCACTTAAGTATCCTTTGTATAAGAAAATGATCGGATGTGGACGAAGTTTGAAGCGTTCGCATACATCTACCTTGTGAGTAATTTGTTGTTCGAGGTCTGGATCCTCGTATGCCTAGGGATTTGGTATATTGATGTAGAATTCTCGTGGAGTGAGCACTAAGCAGACTGGTTTTATTCGAGGACCTTTACCATTTTTGTTCAACGGGTTTAGTTCATAGATATTGATTATATCTAGATTCTTGCAACCGGGAAGGCGTCCAAGACATCTTGCCTGGTAAAGTCAATCTTCTTTGCGTATGAGAAGTTTCAGGTAACCAAATTGGGATACGCCCACATCGTTCTTCTTAAAGGCATCAACTGATTCGAAAATCTCCATGACATTTGGGATCTTTGTAGATTCAAAAAGAACATAACACTGGTTTTTGATTCAATGGTACTTACCTACGGTAATGAGGCAGGGGGGTACTGAGAAGAAAAGTAATTCTGGTGTTGAAATCTCAATGCCCAGAAGATTCAAATATTATAGAACTGAAGACTCTAGAATTCTCCTAGAAAGCTATAGTAGGGGAAGTGTAAGTCATTATAGAGAACATTGCCGCTTTGTGATCACCCCCCTGGGCGCAATCGAAACGAATCTTTATGCAAGAACATTTTGATAATTTATGTGATATATGTATGCGGATAGACATTTGTGCATTGCATTGCAAGATCATTGATCATGTGCTGTAACAACCTCATGTACTCCCAAGCCTTGCAACATGCCACACATGCATGTACTGATA